GTAATGGAAGTCCCAGGTAAAGAGAAAGGGGCAGGAAAAAAAAAATTAAAGAAATAATGGCTGAAAACTTCCCAGATTTGATGAAAAACTTAGGGACCCAGAAATCTCAATGAACCCCAAGTAGGATAAACACAAAGAGAACCACACCTAGACACATTATGGTCAACTTGCTGAAACCCAAAAACAAAGAGAATCTTGAAAGCAGCAACAGAAAAATGACACATCCTGTACAGGGGGACAATACTGTTTGCTGACTTCTCAAAAACACTGGAGGCTAGAGGGCTGTGCAGTGACATATTCAGAGTGCTGAAAGGAAAAACTCAACCAAGAATTCTATATCTAGCAAAACTATCTTTCCAAAAGTAAAGGTCGAATAACAACATTGTCATATAAACAAAGACTGAGGGAATTCATTATAGGCATATCTACCTTACAGGCAGAATTAAAAGAAACAGATGGTAACTTGGTTCCAGAAGATCATTGGAAATACTCTAGTGAATATAAAAGATATATCCTCTTAATTAAAATATTTCTTAAACAATTATAGCACTGTATTGTTGGGTTTATATATGTAACATGTAATATTTATGACAATATTGCACAAAGGAAGAGGGGTGGAAATTAGAATTATACTCTATAAAATTTGTTAAATTTTACGAGTTAACCTGAATAGACTTTAAATGAAAGATACAGATTGGAATATCCAAGGATAGCTGGGGGGATAAAAATTTAAAAAAGCAATTGTTTATTGAACATCTCTATTTTAACAGGTTTTTTGTAGATGCTGGGTATTTAAATATGTCCAGTAAATGTCTTTTTTATTGTTTATTGCCACAGTTTTTGGCGATCCAATATTTTATGCACATATTCTTTATATTATTTGAAGAGGCTCTGAACATATTTTTTTCTAAAGTAATACATGCAAAACTTGTAAAATGATAACATTTAAAGTAGATGGTGTGGTTTTATGATTTTCCTATACAAGATTAATGACAGTGATATCAAATATCTGTCATTAATTGGTTAGTTGTTGTTGCTTTATTGGAGCAAGAAAGAAAAATGCATCTTAAAATAGACAAAAATGAATGATTGGTCTGTGTTTCTCAGTCAGAGGATGTGATGCTAAGACACATTTATATTTAAATTTAGTATTTAGCATACTAAATTGTTTTATCTGTTAGAAAAAATAATTATATTATTAAAAATTGCCATAGTGGGATTCTTATTTGTGTAGATATGTTTAAGCTTCTAGTAAATGACTAGAGTAGAACTTGTAGGAAATATAAAGATTTATTAATGAAACTCATTATTTTACATTATTTTACATTACATTCCTCCACTTTTTCCACTCTCTCTTCCCCATCCCTTCCATTTTCACACACACAAACACACAAAGGGAGCTAAAATGTCTCATACTTCTTAATTTTGGCCAAACAAGCAAGAAATATGGGAAAAATAGAATATGTCCATCGATATTTTTTATGAGTATGTGCGTTATATGTGGATATATTTCTGTGGTTTTGATTCGGAATTTTTTTTATAAATGAGATTTCACTGTACATATTGTTCTGGTATTTTTTTTTTTTCCCAGCATTTCATGACAGCTTTTATGTCAGTAAATTCAGATATACCTTATTTTTTTTTTTTTATTGATAAGTATTCCATAGTATGGGGGGAGTGTACATTATTATTTATCTTTCTCTATTGAAGGATATTTTATGTCATGTCTAATTTATTACACACTATATAATGAACATCATCATAAATTTTTTTTGTGCATTTGTATGAATGTTTTTGTAGCATAGATATAAAGAGATATTATTAGTTCAAAGTTTGCAAATTTTAAATATTGATATATTTTGCTTTTTGCCATCCAAAAATGTTTTGAAAGTTTATACCACCACCTGTGGTATATCCCAAACTCTTGCCAACACTGGCTTTTATCAATATTTTATATTTTTTGCTAGTTTAATAGGTTAACAGTGATATCGTGTTTTAATTTTTATTTTCTTAATCACTAGTGAGGTCGAACTTCTTTTAATAGTATTATTAGCTCTTTATATTTCTTATTCTTTAAAATATATATTAGTTTTACTCCTTTTTTTTTTACTCTGGTAAAACATACATAACAAACATTGACTATTTTAATCATTTTTAAATGTACAATTCAGTGGCTTTAAGTACATTCATATTTTTGTGCAACCATCGCCACTCTCCATCTCCAGAACTTTTTCATCATCTCATATTGAAACTCTGTATGCATTGAACAGTAATTCCCCATTCCTTACTCCCTCAAGCCCTAGTAACCACCATTTTACTTTCTTTCTCTGTGAACTTGCCTGCTCTGTGTAACTCGTAAAAGTGGAATCATACAATATTTATCGTTTTGTGATTGGCTTATTTCACTTAGCATGGTATCTTCAAGGTCTGTCTGTATTGTAGCATGTATCAAATTTTTTTTTAAGACTGAAGAGTAATTTATTATGTGTATATGTAGCATATTTTGTTTATCCATCTATTAATAGATATTTGGGTTGTTTCTACCTTTTGACTTTTACGGATAATGCTGCTGTGAACATGGGTGTTAAGATATTTCTTTGAGTCCCTTCTTTTAATTGTTTGGGTATATAGGTCCTTCTATGCTTAAAAATTTTTAAGAACCACTGTACTGTTTTCCATAGCAGTTGTGCTGTGTTATATTCTCACCAGTTGTGCTCAAGGGTTCTGATTTCGCCATATCCTTTCTAGCAGTTGTTTTCTGTTTTGTTTTGTTTTGTTTTGCTTTTCATAATAGCCATCCTAATAAGTGTGAAGTGGTATCTCACTGTGGTTTTTGATTTACATTTCTCTAATAATTAGTGATATTGACCACATTTTTTTCTTGTCTTATTTGCTATTTGTATATCGTCATTGGAGTGATGTCTGTTCAGGTTTTTGTCTACTTTTTATCTGGTTGCTTGTTTTTTGTTGTTGATTTTTGCTCATTTTTTAAGCTCCCAGTTAATGTTTATTCACTTGAGAGCATGGTCTCAGTCCTCAGGTAGGTCTAGTATGGAAAATAAATCAATGACTTATATTGGTTCTTTAAAGATAATAATCATAGGAAAAGTACATTAGAGTTCATATTTAACAGGCTGATGAGGTGGTATTCAAAAGGGATCCATCAGGATTTTGATATTCAGTAATGGCAATAGAGTGGGGGGCATTTCAGGTGGAGAAAAAAAAGGATAGAATTTTTTTTTTCTAAATCTTTTTTTTTTTTTTTTTGGTGAGGCAACCTTTGGTTGACCTCACAGATTGCAAGGACCTTGTCAGTTTACAATCCTTTATTTTTTATTTATTTTTTTATTTTTTATGCCTACAGCACCTGGTTTTCCTAGGTGGTCTCCCATCCAAGTACTAACCAGGCTTGACCCTGCTTAGCTTCCAAGATCAGACGAGATTGGACTTGTTCAGGGTAGCATGGCTGTAGACTCAAGGATAGAATTTTATTGTAGATAAACAGAAATTAGTTTAGCTTGTTTTTAATGGGAGTATACACTGGCACAGTCTGTGTGTGTTTGGAGAGAGAGGAGTTACTGTGGCAACAGCTATCAATGGTAAAGATACAGATGTTCTTTTATTCAGCACCTTCCAGAAATTTATCCCACAGACATATTTGTAGAAATAGACAATCACACTATTGTTGCAGCAGCATAGAATTGGAAGCAAAGTACTTATTTTGCCATTTGTATATCATCATCAGAGTACAAAAATCAATAAGGGGATTAGCTTTAAAAAAAAAGGTACAGAAAAAAATATAGTATAATCTTAGTTGAAGATATTGTTAGTACATGAACAGATAGAATATTTCTGGAAGAATAACCAAGAAACTGTTGACAGTGGTTTCACTGTGGTGTGGGGAATGGCATGGAAAATGTTTTTTTCTTGTTTTCTTTCTTCCAAGGATGTTAAAAAAAAAAACCCAACTATTTTTAAAGATGTTTAGAGCTTAAAATTAAAAGCTCTGGGTTCCTTCCAGTATTTGATGCACATGTACTTAACTAGTTTTGATTTTAGGGGGTAGGAGGGTGAAAGTGAGGTGAGAAGATGAAATAAGTTTTTGTCATTTAGACAATAAACAGATTATGGGTTGGACTTTTAAAGAAATTTTTATTTACTGCCCTTTGGAGGATTTCTTGAGGATAATGTTCACAAAAATAAGCATTCACAACTCTTTACATATCCAGAGTTAAAATAAATTAGGCAAATGAGTAATGCCTCTCATAAATTATTTTCTGTATTTAAAGAAATTATTAAAAACACATTGAGGAGTGAATAGCACAGGATTTTTCAATAGGCAAGATCACCAGCCTAACCTTACATGTTTATAAAGTTTGGCTGCAGATTTGTTGTTTTTAAAGGACTTGACAACTAAATGAGAAGTTTTCGTTATTGTAAGATATCATAGCAAGAGTAAACCATTTTCTGATAATTTTGTGACTTCTATTTAATATGTTATTAAGTAAAAAGAATAAAAGAGTTCCTTAATTACGATACTTAAGTAAACTGTGTTCTCACTTTGAGACGGCACAAGTACATCATGGCTGGTAATTATTTTCCTGCTGTGTAAGGAATCTTATCAAACTTTCTCTTTCCACATTAGTGGACTGTTATCAGTTAATTAAAGCAAGACTTCAGTGTTGGCTTTCACCTTTTGTCTTTACAACTAAACTTTTAAAGCAAAACTGTTATTTAATGTTCTTTGTGATTCAGCAAATTGCTTCTAATTGGTAAAGAATAGAGGGGAAATAATAGTTGAATGATGGAAGTATTTCACTTAAATGAAGGAAATTCAAGTTGTAGGTTTAATTGCCCTTAAAAAAAAAGAAAGAAACACCTGTATTTTAAACCTGACTTGTTAAATTTCCTTCAGGGAAATTTTTTCATGTTATTTTTCAAATATTTTTTTATATTCTGAAGTTTTCCCTTGTTTAATTGTAGTGATTCTTTTTTTAAAGGTACGGATTGCGAGAATTCGTGGTGATCGCCCCTGCTGCAAACAGTGATGCGGTTCTCAGTGAATCTAAGTGCAATCTTCTTCTGAGTTCTGTGTCTATTGCTTTGGGAAACACTGGCTGGTAGGGGGACATTTTGAAAAACTTAGACTATGAATTAAAAACTTTTAAATTATGTTTTATGAAGGAAAATGGTTACCAAATGTTACGTTGTTTTTTTTTTTTAAATTATAATTATGATTAGTACTTGTACGTTTTTATATTGGAATATGGTATATAAAGACAAACTCAAAAAAATCTTTAGGGAGAAAGGTTTGTGAAGGGAAACTTACTGAAATACTCAATGAATATTTGAAATGGAGAGTAAATTATACTTTTTTGTGCTTTTCTTACATTTGTTTAGTTTATTTAAATTTTGTTACAAAATCTAATTGTAAAACTTGAGGACAGCATTGCCTTGTTAGATCTCAGCTGGGAACATGCTCATCAGATGGCTCAAATTTTTTGATGCTCTGCACATGTTTGCAAATGACTGAAAGTACTGCACTATTGATTTTGGGGTTACAAATAAATTTTGGTGAGTAGGCTAATTTGAACATATGGAAATTTATGAATAATGAGGGTCAACTGTATCTTCAAATGATAAAGTAAAAAATATTTCACCATAAGTGTCGGTTTGATTTGTATTATGTAATACCTGTGAATCAAGTCTTATCATGACTTTGGAAAGGCTACTATGATATGATTGCTTTTACTGAAGAAAATTTTTATTCTTTTTTCTTGATTCAGCCATTTTAAAACAATTTCCTGACCACAAAGTGCCACTAGGTGATAGTTTCTTCAGTTTACTAGTGTAAGGAGAAAAGGGATTAAATATGTCTTTGTTATCAGTCTATGGAGTATTTCTTGTTTAGTGCTTTTAAATATTTGAGATTAGTGTAATGTAACTGGAAAATTTCGAGATTTAGGAGATTTTCAGTGTTTAATACACTTATAGTCTATTCCTGTTCCTATAGCCAAGTGCCACTCTTCGTGCAAATTCATCACAAATGGCGAAGAATGTATGTGGGAGAATGTCAGGGTCCTGGTGTCCGAACTGATTTTGAAATGGTTCATCTTCGAAAAGTGCCAAATCAGTACACTCATTTATCAGGTCTGCTGGATATCTTCAAATCAAAGATTGTGAGTTGGCATTGATATTGTCAGTGTTATCTGGGATGAAGTAGCAATTTGGTAATTTGAGTATATAGAAATATTTCTCTATAATATCAATAATGTAATTACTTAGACACAGATATAATTGACTATATAAATTACTGTCATTTAAACAGTCTTCAGTTAGGTTTTTAGTGAACTAATGTTAATAATTAAACTGATTTTGTTTGTTCAGTTCGTTAACATTTATCTACTGTTATCTCTTTCTCCTGTAATAGTAATACAGCAGGTCTTCAAATAATGTCTTTTTGTTCAATATTGTTTCATTGTTTCTTTATAATGTTGAGGAAAAAAAAATCAATTCCAGGTTGGGGCCACTGTGTGTAGAGTTTGCACCTTCTACCCATGTCTGTGGGTTTTCTCTGAGGCCTCCAGTTTCCTCCCACATCCCAAAGATGTGCACGTGAGGTGAATTGGCGTGTATACATTGTCCCAGTGTGAGTGAATGTGGGTGTGTATGGGTGTGCCCTGGGATACAAGGGTGTCTTTGCCTGGGGTTGATTCCCACTTTTTGCCCTGAGCTGCCAGAATAGGCTCTGGCTACCTGTGACCATAAAATGGAAAAAGCAGGTTGGAAAATAATTGTCTTGTTTTTATTAATTTTTCTTACATGTATGCATAGCTCACATTTATTTCAGTTTTTAATATTTTTGGGTCTTTATTTAGAAGTTTGGTGATGTTTTGGTGACCCAAAATATGTTGTAGGAACTTTACTCTTGTTGATATCAAGTAGCCCATGGTAAAATTGGTTTTATTATATGTCGTTTTGTTTAAAGTTGCAGTTTTCAAGAACCTATCTATGATGTTAAGTGAGGACTTACTGTATTGCCAACCTCCTCAGATAAGTGGGCTTTAAATAGCTCCTTGTTTGGGACTTTGAGCCTTTTTTTTTTTTTTTTTCTTTTTCATGTGTGCATGTGGTGGGATGTGATGTTACTTATAGTAGTGAAGGATTTAATGTATATCCAATCATAGAGTACTGATTAAACTTATCCATCAGAGGACTATTACGTACTTACAGTTGTAGGTATTAATTAACATGAAAAGAGATTCATAATGTATTGTTAATCAGGAAATAACTAGTTACGAAATATACATAACATCCAAAAAATGGGATGTACATACAAAACATCCCATTTTTGTTAAAAAATATACATTTGCTTGGGTGCATATGAGTTTGGAAGAATGTATACCAAAATGCTAATATTGATTAGCTGATAAGATTGTTTTTTGTCTTTTATTATTGTTATTATTATTTTGTATGTTCTCTCTTTTCCCTCCCAAAGAGCATATATTACTCACATAAAAATAAGTTAAATTATCAGTGGGAAATAAAGAAGTAGCTTGTTTTTAAAGGACCTGCCCAAATGTAAAGATAGTGAACTTCTTGAGGTCTGAACTCTTTGAGTTCTGAATTGCCTTTCTTTTTTTCCAAATCTTCATTTGATTTGATATTTTTAAATAGGTCTGTCTTACAGTCTATGACAGCAGCAAGGCTAAATGGGATGTGCCCAATATATCCATTGTGTTCTGTAAAACCACTGTCACAGAGATACGGAGGACTTGCCTGTGCTACTCTGGGGAAAAAATGTGGGGTTTAAGTTGAAGAGCTATTAGTAAAGAGAGCAAAATCAGATAAGCAAGTGGTGGAGCAGATCCTCTACTTAGAGAAATATTCCCCTTAGTGCTTAAGTTGACATCCATTTTACTGTAGTGCTCAAACATGATTAACAAACTGATATCAGGTATCTCCTGATATGATACATTGAATAGGATATATCATCATATCTGTTACATATCTGCCAGAAATGTAACTATATAAA